TTATACCAAAGTACCTTCTTGTTTTTATAAGTCATTAGAGCCGTGAATTTATTCTCTTCATGTTATTTGTATTCTTTGAATAATATACTTGAAGAAACAAAATAAAAATTGGAACTCAAAGCTACCAATTATCCATGCAAAAGTCGACTGTTTTAATCTTATGTAAGCTAGTATTTGCCTATTCATATATAGCCTCTTTATTTTGTTTTTTCTTTGAAGTATAAGGAAATTATTTGAAGTTAAATGGGGGATTATAGAATTTGGATTCATATCCACTGAAATAAGAGAGATAATTTTACTATACAAATGAATAGGTTAATTCATAAGGAGAAAATATATCCGATTTGTTACACGGATTTGGAAGAAGGAAGTTTTATTCAATACTTGGAACTTCATCCGAACGGGAATTGTATGTGTAATTGACTCTAGTATTTCCTTTTCGAGTAAGTTATGTTTTTCTGTCTTTTAACTTCTCAGTGCACTGAACAATATAATTTTAGCATGCTTGATAGACCTCTATCTCTTCTAAGCGTGGAAATCAGCCTCCTTAAATTCAAAGTTAAGAAACTCATTTTAACAATGTCCAAATAATGATGGATTGGATGAGTTAGCTGGACTGCTTTAGGAATTGAGTCTTCTAGGCTGGCCTCCTCCATATTAACAAAGTGGACTATTCGAAAAGAACGTTATAGTCAAATTCAGCTTTATCAATATCATTTAGCATCCTGATTTTTAGAGAAAAAGGCCTAAATTACCCTTGGACTATTTGAATTGATACAAAACTACCCTCCAACAACCTTTCCGCTCCAAATACCCCTGACATCAACCTTCTTGTTCTGCTATACCCTTATTTTTAACGCCCCAAATTTTAATCCCAATTAGTAACTTCATTTGTGATGTGTTGCTTATCTATTGGTCACCATATAATTAACTTGTACTAATTAAAAATCCCACCTGTTACCTGGATCCGGCTTCACTATTCGACTGGCCTTTTTCACTATTTGATGCAGAAAACTTGTTCATACACAGAGAGGGTAAAATCAAAATATATTCTTGGTTTTGTCGAAGCTGGAAGAACATCTTGTCACGACCCAAAAACGGGCGTGATTACAGTTGTCTTATCCCACCAAGACAAGTTAGCCTAAACCCAACTAAGAGTAAATGCGGAAGTAAAACAAAATAAAAGGGTAATATATTTTCATTAATGCGGATAACATAACATAACTCAACTATAACCCCAAAATTTTGTTGTCACGTGTACAAGCAAGAGTATTACAATAGATTAAAGAAGTACAAGTCTCAATGTCTTTATTTCTAGAATAGAACAAAAACATAATAAAGGAGTAAGAGGAGTTTGTCGAGATGACACACAACTATCTCTCAACTCTCCGTAGTAAGTCTCAGACGTAAAATAAAAGGTGTAATCATGATGACCCGGACGCATAACCAACACAAGTGTAGAAGCAAGGATTATGTTTATTTTCTGACATAATTTTGACATCAAAGAAAAAGATTAGTTTTTCAAATTGCTTAACCATTTTACGGTCCGGTCAAATAGTGAAGGCAGATCTGGGTAATGGGTGGGGGGTTTAATTAGGTTAATTATAGGGTTACCAGTTGATAATCGACACGTCATAAATAAAATTATTAATTGGGATTAAAATTTGACGCCTTAAAAATAAGGGCATGGTAGGGCCAAAAGGTTGACTTCAGTGGTATTTGGGGGCGAAAAGGTATATGGAGGATAGTTTTGTACCAATTACTCTAGTCCAAGGGTATTTTAGCCCCTTTTCTGTAATTTCTAAAAAAAGTTCATCATTATTAATTCAGACTGATACAAACTATGTGCAGCAGCCAAATTAACTTCTTAATAGTTGGACTTCTTTATTTAAATTTATGATATATGCTTCAAATCAACCACCTACATAGCATAGCATTGGGGAATAAAAATTAAACCAAGAATACGAAATGAGGGCACATAATGTGTTCATAGTTATAGAAGGTGATGGAGAAGTGAAGTGAGAAGGAGAAGCTAAGGATAGTGCGACTATGTGAGTGTTTGTAGCAGAGGAAGGTGAGATTTTCTGAGGTTTATAAGAATGTTGAAAATATGTAGACAGGGGACAAAAAAACATGTTTTTTGAAAACTATCTGACTTTCAGATTGACAGTACAATATCTTTTACTTCACAAAATAGAAACTATGAAAACTATATGTTTTGGTAAGTTCCTTTTCTTTAACCGTTTTAGTAAGTTCCTTTTCTTTAACCATTTTAGTAAGTTGTCTGATGAAGTTCTCTTTAGTAATCCAAAGTTCTAGTATTTCTCAAAAAATAGAGAGTCTCTTAGCCTTCTTGCTCTAAGTCGAAAGGAATTTCCATTCATGTATGTCCTTAACAGTTCTTACTGAGCTTGTCAATATATCACATTTTAATATCTCTGACAGAAGTTTACTTATCAAAAAAGCAAAAACATATTCTCACAGAAAATTCTCAGGGTGAAAATCATAAGAGATGGACTAATATGTTGCACCTGTTCTATGATCTTCTTCTGTCTCTCCATCTAAGATTAGCCTGAATACATATTGTTAAAGCAATATAGGTAATAGAACTAAGGGCAATGCATTGGTGGTTGTGTCCTTTAAAAACAAGTATTTGGAAGTATATGGCGTGCTCAATCTCTCCTGATGGAATTTGTTTTGGGTACTCCCTGATGAAATAACTTGATATCAAGCGATGCTGTTTGTGCTAGTTGTTTTTTACTTTCTTCATGATGTCGCATGATACCCTATATAACCATTTTTTGTTTTTGACGAAAAACCATGCTGTTGTGGTTTTACATGTCTTCTTTCGTTTTCATTAGAATATGTTGATGTTACAGTGGTTCCCTTGTGTTTTTAGTCTGTTAGAAAATAAATAATACTTTAGAAATATATTCACTGCATGATTAACCAAGTAATCTCAGTTATATGCATTGCTGAGTAGGTGCTCTTGTATGATGAACCAACAGCTGGACTTGATCCGATTGCATCAACCGTTGTAGAAGATCTCATTCGCTCGGTTCACGTGGCAGGCGAGGATGCACTTGGGAAGCCTGGGAAGATTGCATCATATGTTGTTGTCACACATCAACACAGTACTATTAAAAGAGCTGTCGACAGGTTCTGATTCTTCTTTTTTTAGGCATGATTATGTTGCTTATCCTACAAACCATTGTAAAGTTTGAGGTTCCTTCTGTGCAGGCTAATATTTCTTTATGAAGGTAAGGTTGTCTGGCAGGGAATGACTCATGAGTTCTCCACATCAACTAATCCTATTGTTCGGCAGGTAATGATGGTCATGGTTAGGTTTTTAGGTTTCGTTTCTGTAAAACTGAACTGTTATTTTCTTATGTTACAAGCAAGGAGTAAGACTTTCTGATTTCAAGTTGGCTATTTGAAGCCCTCCATGCTTTAGTAAAGTAATAGAGAGAAAATTTCAATCAATTTGAATATTTATGAATAAAGAGAAATCCATTCCATGGTAAATTTACATGTTTTCTTCTAGGTGAAGATTTTAAAGCATTGTTTGTTTCATTGTCTGTCAGTTTGCATCAGGGAGTTTGGATGGTCCTATTAGATATTAGCTTCTGCAACCAAAACAAATACAAAATGTACTCAGTCTTACTCGCAGCGTTGATTTTACCTACCAGCTGAACTTGGGTGCTTCAAGGCTGACCTTGTCAAAGCAACAAAAAAGAGATCAATGCCTAAAGAGTAGTCACACTTGAAGCTCTTATTTTGCTGAGCCTGCTTACATGAATGTGCGCGTCATAGAAGGAGTTTCTGGTTTTATTTTACTCTTGTTCTTCCCTCTTATTTGTTTTTCACATTCATCTTTGTAACTGGTCTCTTATCATTTTTAATGCTAGCAACTTGATAGTAAGGTGTCTCATGTTAAAATGAATTGATTAGTAATCGATTGTGTAACATAATAAGTGATTCATATTAAATGTGGAAATTGACGTTAAAAAATTGGTGGTGAGTGTACTTAATGGTTCTCCAAGTCATCATTATGTAGGTCCTCATAAAGTTTTTGGAAAAATTGTTTTGGGTGCTTCGGTGTCAGATCCATTGGTTAATACACACAAAAAATTGAGGAATACGCCTAATTCCTTAAAAGGACATGTAAATGTGAAAATGAACGTTAAGAAAGGAATCGTAGAAATGTTTTTTGTCATGTTATTTCAGCATTGCAATATACATTATAGCAACTTTGACCACTACTGCCATGTTGTATAACATGATGGTGCAACTTTGATCACTACTGCCATATTGTATAACATGATAGTGAGGAATCTATTCTTTCTACTTTTTCACATACATTATAGAATTTTGATTATTTAATCACTACTACCACCAAATTATTCCATGGATTAGGACAAATACTTTCTGTAACACTTGAAAGGAATAAATTCCATGGCACTACAAAAAGATTATAAGTTTATTCTTGAAGACCAAACAATTTGATAATGAGATAATTCACATGCTTGGAATCTAACTCAAAAATGGTCACTATGTTTGTTTATTATATTTGAGGCAATGTAGGAATATGAATCTTGAAGATCGATGACTTGGTAAGGAGCGGGTTCCCCTTTAATAGGCTTTACACAATATGAATCTGAATTAATCATTCTATGCATTCTGGATGTAAAATGGTTATACTAAAAAAACTTTTGGTGGTTATAGACCCTGCATGTTCTTCATGGTGTTAAGGTAGCTCAAATAGACAAAGCCATAGAAAAACTATTCCATTGAAAGTATCACACAGCAAAAAATCAACATTCAACTGTTCTGAGGCATATTGAAATATCACATTTTCAACTAACTAAAATCTACATGAAGCATTGCTAACTAGTTTTTTTTTTTAAAAAAGGGCTGGTTAGTAAACAAGATATGCTTGAAGCTGTTTTGCTATATGATACAATTCATAAGTTGCTGTACAATGTGATCACTTATCACTTTCAACCTGCTAAATTTTTTGTTTGCAGAATACAGCTTCTTGTTCGAGATGAACAAAATAAAACGACAACGCCAACATAGAAGCTAACTAAAGCACTTATACAGAAAATCCAAACTGATAATGGTCCCTCTTCCATTTCCTCTTCAAATTTCTTCCCTGGCTTTACAGGCAAAGTTCTTTGACAGACATTACCAGATGATTCCATACACAAGTCTGGATTGCCAGCAAATGCTCCAGGAAATTTCCAATAACCTCGTTTTGTCGAAATAACACCAGAGAAACAATTATATGAAAGATTTAAAACTGTCAAATTTCTGAGGGAAGTAATGTTTTCAGGGATGTGGCCAGATAAAGAATTGTGTGACAAATCAAGTGCCTTTAGCTTCTGCAACTTCCCTAAACTCCCTGGAACTGGACCATTAAGAAAATTGTATGACAAGTTAAGGTACTCCAGACCATGTAATCCGAACAGACCTTCTGGAATTTCACCATGAAGCAAATTGTCAGACAGATCAATTCCAATTGTGGTTGTGAGGTTATACTTGAAGCTCAAACTAGTTTCATCAGCAACGAGTGAAAGTTTGATATCCAGGCTTCGAGCTGAAATTGATGGTACTGCAGAAATGGTTTTCCTAATGTCGCCGTTGTAGAAATTTGGACTAGTGTTAAAGTTACCATCTGGTATATATCCTGAGAATTTGTTTCCAGAAAAATCTAGAGTATGAATAGCCTGAAATGTAAACAACCAACTTGGCAGAGATCCACTGAACTTGTTCCTAGCAAGGGAGAGGAATTTGAGGTTTGACCATTTGGTTATTGCATCATTTAGAGATCCTGAGAGATTGTTAGAGCTTAAGTCAACAACTTCCAACGACTTGCAGCCTGCCAATGTCAGTGGGATCTCACCAGAAATCTTGTTGTTTCCTATATCAAATATCTTTAGACTATCCAACGCGTCAAGCACTGGCTGAATTTCCCCAGAAAGATTATTACTGTTTAGTATCAGCGCCAGTAGTTGGAAACATCCTACAATGTTCAAAGGAATCGAGCCAGTGAGGAAGTTATGTGAGAGATCAATCACCTGTAGATAGGTCAAATTACCAATCCTTTCTGGTATTTCGCCCACAAGAAGATTATAAGACAGAAACAACGCTTGCAAGCTCTTCAATTCTGTTATCGTTACAGGAATATTACCAGAGAACTGATTGTGAGACAGGTCAAGAAGTAGTAGTCCAGACTTGTCCGATGCCTCGACAATCCTACTTGGAATCTTCCCTGATAGCTCATTATAACTCAAGTCCAACAAACATAACCTCTCTGAAAAAACCAGTCTAGGCGAGATACCATATCGTAATTCATTGTGTGACAAGTTGAGCTGTGTCAAACCCCCAAGACTCGAGAGACACGTTGGTATACCTCCAAGAATCGAATTGTTTGCTAAATTAAGAAGTGTAAGTGATTCTCTTGACGAATATAAACAAGGCAAAGTACCCGATAACAAATTAGACTCAAGATTAAGTGTGACCAATTCTTGGTTAAAATCACCCACATTTCCCATCAAACTATTATGAGACAAATCAAGATACTTCAAAGACATCAAATTCAACAAGCTCTTAGGTATATCCCCATGAAAACTATTAAACCCCAAGTTGAGTTTTTCAAGTGACATTGAGACATTCCCTATCCACATTGGGATTTCACCACTCAACATGTTATGACTAAGGTCAAGCTCAATTAACTTACTCATAGTTGCTGCAAATGTACTAGGAACAAGAAGAGTAAAAATATTATAGCTAAGATCTAAGGTCTTAAGACTCCACAACTTCCATAAACAAGAAGGTATTGAATTGTTAAAGCTATTATGAGACAACACAAGGGTTTCAAGAAAAGTAAGATTACACAAACAAGGATGAACCTGTCCTGACAAGTTAAACCTTGTGAGGTTAAGTCCAGTGACCCGCCCTGTCTGGTTAGACCGGGTAACACCAGTCCAGTTTGACAGAGGAACACTAACATCCCAGCTTGATAAAGGGGTTTCTTGAAACTGTAACTTGAAGAACAAAAGCAAACCCATGTCCTCTTCTGTTTCAAGATTGAACACCCCAGTTGCATTAGTATCATGAGAAAGAGGAAATGCAGATGAAAATGGGTTCAAGAAAGGGAAAATCAAGAAGAATAGGATAAAGATTGAAACTTTAAGGGGATAAGAGGTTGTACAAGGTTCAACAAGTGATTCTGCCATGGAGGTAAGTTAGAGGTGTAAAAAAGATTAGTGTTTGTGTTGGAGGTAAGGTAATGAAGGAAGGAGAAAGGGGAAAGGGGAAATGGGGGGTCCCTGGACAGGGTTTACAGGGCACAGTGTGTGTGAAAGGAATCAGTACTGAGTAGCAGTAGTAGAGAGTATAGAGAGAGTAAGTTGAAAGTAGGTACTTCATTGAGAGTCACCACTAAAGAACCAACATTCTTTCTTGTTTCTTGTTTTCATTTTTAGTACTACTTATTTTATTGAGAGGCACACACTCTTATCTTTTTTATGATTGTGTATTTGAACTCGTCTTTGCGCGCTTTAACTAATTTTATAAAACATTTACTATCTCTTATCAATAATAGCTATTGATTGCGTGTTTGAGTGGATATTAATATCATTTTGAACAAGATTAGATGTGTAATAAATCGTCACAAAAGTTTGAACGTATAACCGATTTTTCGAGAATAATTTTAGAAGGTAATTTATGTGTTTTCCCTAATTTGAATATTTTCTCATTGTATGGCCTCATTATGGAAAAGTACTTCCGATTATGAATTTTGCCATAACCTGATTTTGAATATTGTATTCACTATACCACATTCTATGATAATTATTCTCTCTTTTTCACTTATTCACTTTTGAATTGACATATCTATTAAGAAAATAATTAATGATATACTGAGTTTATTATTTTATCCCTATTAATTATGAGGTGAATGAAAAATTTATATTTTTCAAAGTAATTAGTCATTAGTCATTAATTAACGATATAATAGATAAAAAATATCATTTTTTATGTCAAAATAAATAAATAATTATGAAAAATTATTAAAAAAAAATAAACAAATAAAAATGAACGGAGCATTTCATATACTAGTAGTAGCATTTTGGTACTCCCAATATTATAAACACGAAATATACCTCTTTGAAAAAAGAAAAGAAAAACAAGTTTTTTTAAAAAAAAAAAACACTCCCAATGAAAAAAAAAAGAAGAGGCAAAAGGTGTTTGGTGTGCCTGGAGAAGTGTAAAACTAAAGTAAAGTAGACACCTTCACTTTTCTTTTCTTTTTCAAATTCTCTTTAAAGAGAGCCTTTATTATGTGTAAGTGAGCGTGTGAAAAACCATATCAAACAATTATGCTCTTCTTCCAATCACTTTCGAGTTGTCAATGGTACGGTTCAATCGATTATTTTATTAAATTCACATAATATTGATTTTATAGTTATTTATTTTATAACATTTAGCTTATTATGATTTCTTTGGTATCAGTTTGATTCGATTAATTTTTAAGTTTATTTTATAACGTCATAATATTTTCGCAAAAAACTATATATCTAAATACTTTTACTATTTAAAAAGTGATGAATTAATGTACATAAAAAACGATAAGAATACAGATGTATCACACTATTTTATACTCCCTTCGTGTCGGAATCATTTGTCATGTTGCGCTTATCGAAAGTCAATTTGACTAATTTTCAAACGTAAATTAGATTACATTAATTTGATATTTTAAATAAAAAATTAGATATTCTAAAACTATATGAAAAGTACTATAAATTACAAATGTTTTGCTTATTAATATGATGAAACAATTCATCTTAAAATATTAGTCAAAATTTTTATAGTTTAACTCTAAAAATAGAAACCATGACAAATAATACCGGACGAAGGAAATAGTAATGTAAAACAAAATTAAGGAAAAATGAAAAGCTGAAGAGTGGAAATAAATTAATCATGATATGACTCAAGAACTTACTCACTAAGATTCAAGAGGGTGTTTGGCTTAGGTTAAAAATAGTTTTTAGCCGTCAAGAATATTTCGATAGTTTAAAAACTATTTTAAAAAAGTTAAAGTAGGTATTTTTATATTTTTATTTTTTCAATTTAAAAGTTATTGAAGATTGAGTTTTAAGAACTATTTTTGAAAAAAGAGGAAATTTCACAAATAGTCGGTAAAAATAACTTAATTAGGCTGCATAGTTATAATTTGATAATTACGATTCATAGCTACATTTTAAAGGGAGGAAAGAGACGAGGGAGATTGGGAGAGGGAGGAGAGAGGCGAGAGAGAGAAGACAAAAAGAGGAGAGAGGTATATTGTATTTGTATATCTGTTGAATTATATATATATATATATATATATATATATATATATATATATATATATATATCATTCAGTATGTAACCAGTATACATATGTATTTGTATATTTGGCGAGCGAGAATATGATAAATAGGAGAGAGGTGACCGAGATTGGGAGAGGGAGGAGAGAGGCAAGTGAGAGAGAACAGACAGGGGACAGAAACGAATTGTATTTATATATTTGTATATTATAGTATATATATATATATATAATTTTTATTTGTATATGTAGAAGAGAGGAGAGAGGAAGATCTGCATATAATTTAGCTAAAAAAAGTTATGAGTGATTATTAATTCTAACTAGAGTTAAGTTAGTTAATTAACTAGTAATATATGTTTGCTTAGTCGTATAATTTGTTCTTTAAAAAACTATTTTCTTAAAGATAAGCCAAATGGGCCCTAAGTATCCAATAAGAGAAACTTAAGTTATACAAAACTGAAATCATCTAATATACTTTACAATTTGCTATTCAAGATCATTGTAATATTTTATAGCTTAGTAATAAGTGTTATTTAGCGTTTCCAGGCCCAAGGCAAACTTTAATGTTTCATTATTTTTAAGATGTATATACAAAATATATTTTACACATATAAATTAATTATTCAGTATGATTTAATATCTTCTATTTATTTGTATAAGATTAAAATTTTGCCTAAACATTTGATACTATTATAAGTTTATAAAGAAACTTGCAGTTTTATTTTTGTAAATAAAATTTGAAAAACATTTAGATTTGATACGGTTAGGTCATGTAACACCTCACAACTCATAATATGCATGTAGCATGATCTTAACCGTCGTGAGAGAGATACTCACAATAAACCCCAGTGGAACAACCACTAAATAACTAAAATAATAGTCCTATTAATTGAAGTCAAGAAATTCATAGCTAAAATCATTATCTAAAACAATCGAAGATTACTTTCCCTAAAATTTAAAAGTCGTATATCTAAGCAAATGAAATATAAATTCACAAAACAGGTAAAGGAGAGATGAATCCATGATAGTCCAGAAGAAGCAACCCACACTTAGTTTCAGGATACGTGGGTCAGCCGTTGGAATATGTCTTGTACTCAATAAAAGAAGAGCAAATGACTATTAGTACATGAAAATGATAGAATACTGATAGGATCATTGTCAAGTTCTAGTTTAAAAAATATGAACAAGTAACTATAACATAGTAAAATACGATAACATAAGACTCCTATCCTCAATCTGATTTAAAAAATCACATGATACATGTCCAACAACATAACAATGACTAAATCCGGTTCACTCTTGCAATCACCTACGTCAAATCAAATCTGAAACCTAAATCCTCCCTTGTTGTGAAGCTTTAGATTTGATTGATTTAATGAAGTGTTTGAGGTGTTTTTGGATGAGTTTGATGCTTGAACTTAAAGAAGAAAATAATGCCCATTTTTTTTGTATATTATTATATATGGTGTATATAAATAACCTCTTAAAATATTGTATAATATATCATTGAGGGTATAATAATTTGTATCGAGTTTTTAAATATAAATATATATTTTTTTGTATAATATTGTATACCGGATGTATAATGTTGTATATTGGATTGTGATTTGCGCTTAACATTTTGTAATGTATGTTTTAGACTATATTTTTGCAATGTAAGCTAAGTAATTGTATAATTGTGAATTTTTTTCCTTTTTATTTGTTTGATACTAGCAATTTTGGCTCGAGCTTAAGTAGTAATTTTGATTTGAGTACGTGAGTGTTAATGAAATAAAAGACTTTCTGACACCTAGGCCCATAAATTCTTGTAGATTGTGATAATTTGTCCGTTGAAAAAATAAAATTAATCCATCTTAATTGTATGTATGTCATCAGAGGTCGAGATTTCTTGCATATTTCATGTTTTGCGTCTTAGTTTAAAACGTATCTTGCATGTTATTGAAGTAAAATAAATATTATTATTTTACCTAAAAAATAATAATAAACTTTCTTTGATATGTCTTTTAAATTTTAGCCTACTTATATACTACTAGTTAACCCCTTTGAACTTGTGATCTTTTCTTTTCGTGTGTGTCATGACTCAAATCGACGCTCTAAAAATTAAATTGATATCATTTTAGGCTCTGCATCCTATGAACATTCTTTGCTAGTATAGATTACAACAATGATATTTATCTATACAAAACTTATATTCTCAGAAAAACATCTAATCATAATATTAATTCATGTCAGAATGAAATATCATATTAGAATTCAAAGAAATTGCTAACTAGAATATGATACATTGTTAGAATAAGGTGTTTAGTAACTTATTTTACTGTTATATACACCAAAACTAAGATGCCTTAATAAAAAATTTAAAATTTGGGCACAATTATAACTGTTATGTCTATATTGGTCTTTAACAAGAAAATTTCATATCAATCACAATTTTTTTTCATGTAATATCTATTTTTTTATATATATATATCTTGATTCTGTGTCATAAAGTGTGTGAACCTTTTTTTTTCTTTTTTCTTTTTCTTTTTAAAAAAAATATTAGAAAATTTCAAATGCAATAAAAAGGGACATTTTTTTTAGATGTTATTGCTACATTTGGTGTCGAAATTGCTTTGGGAAGAAATGTATTAGTAGCTTATATGTCATGTGATGGTTATTAATTCTGAAGATTAAATACTTATTAGTGAGTGTTTGGTAAATGAAATCTTTTCACATATACAAATATGAAATTCATACTAATATGACTAGCCAAGGCCCTAAAAAAGTAACTAATGAAATATTGCATTTAGATGGAATGACCCCTTAGGTCATGTTCTCTATTTTTGGTACTTCAGTATTTAGAGATTATCTATAACTACCTCAAGTCAT